GGCTTAAGTGGAGAGTAAATGTTTTGAGAACGATGAGGGCAATGAATGTACAAATGTGCTTTACACAATCGATGTATGTATGGGTTGTGATAAGAGTTGTATGAGCCCCTAGTAAAATGATTAAAAAAAAACTCTTGGCTCTTCCAGAGGTACCTGACTCTGTGTACACGTGTCCCCTTTTTTTTCCTCCTAGAGCACCTTTTGCTTATTCTCACGCTTGCTTGTCCTAACTGAAGTCCTTCTATTTGTGATCACTTCATTCATGTCATGCATTCGACTCTCAGCTTCCCTGGGAACAACCGTTACGTTACGTTTTCAGTGTTCAATGCTGTCGGCCCACCATTCCTAGCACTGAGTGAGCAGTGGAGAAGTGCTTGAAGAATCACTGGGCAAGCAGGATGTTTCAGACTGCAACCACATATTTCATTTGGGTATAATGTTATGCCTGGAGAGCCGGGCTAACCTCTGTTTGTATTTATGTCTAGAATGTGGCAGATCAGATCGCATTTCAAGTGGCTGGTGGATTAACAGCCGTTGAGCACATCCTTCAAGCAGTGGTCCCCGTCACCAATGTGAACACAGTTGCCCGAATTCCACCTAAGTAAGTATCGTTTTCTCATCCGTCTTCCACGTTTCATTTGTGAGTCATTTCTGCCCTGTGATTTCCATATGGGGGACCACAAGAAAATTGTATGTGTGTTCAGGCTTGAATAGCAAAAGCTTATACTTCCCTTTAGGGAGGAAAACAGAGGTGCTCAACTTCACTTAGAAAATTCAAATTGAGCCTAAAAGGCCCTATAAAGGAAATCTCTCTGAGTCTATGACTTGTTCTCATCCTCAGTCAAGAATTGATGAACTCCTGGGCAGCGCCAAATGCTTCCAGAAATTGAACAAAAAGGAATACAGTAGTAACGGAGAGCTAACTTTTTGTGTGTTGAACAAAGAAGAGGTGAGTCAGTCCATTAAGAAAGGCCTGAGCTATGAGATTTGGAAAAGTCCCTTGAAAACAGGAAGAGCAGTCTGAGGCCATAATTGCCCTAGTCTAGGTTCCCAGCCAAATTCCTGGGAACTCAACTGCACTTTGGTCTTTCACTGTAAACTGCTCCTCTAAGGAGGTCTACATTGCATTGACACCCGAGATCTGCTTGCTTATTCTCTCAGGTTATTCTTTGGTCTCTAGCTCTCTGAGATATTGGAGCATATAGCAATATTTTCGAAGTATGATATTCCTGAGTTATAACATGCACAAAGCCTGGAGACTTATCTGAATAGTTTTAATGAAACGTTTTGATGGAAGTCAACTTATATCAAAGAGAAAGCATGCATACTTCATGTTTATGTAGCCCAGTAACAAGGATGCTTCCTGTGCCTGTTGGATGCCATTGTTGTCTCTAGATGTCATCAGGTCGGTTCTGACCCCATAGCAACCCCAGGCTTAACAGAACAAAACCCTCCCCAGTCCTGTGCCATCCTCACGGTTATTCCTAGTCCTTGAGCCCCTTGCTGCAGCCACAGTGTAGATCCAGCTCACTGAGGGCCTTCCTCTTGTTCGCCACTCCTCTGTTTTACCGAGCAGGATGTCCTTCTCCAGGGACTGGTCTCTCCTGACAACACGTCCAAAGTGTGCAAGGTGAAGTCTTGCCATCCTAGCCTCGAAGAAGCACGCTGGCTGTAGTTCTTCCTAGACAGATTTGTTTGGATATAGTAGGGGGGAGGGGGGAGACGGGGGTTTGAACACTTCCACCCCCCTTGGGAAATATTTTGGTAAAATAGAAAAACCACTGGCTTTGGATTCTGACAAACCTGGGTTCTAATGTAATCTCTAGGCCTGACTTTGCTTGAGAGAATGTGGGCAAGTGCCTTAATCTCCTTGCAGCTATCTTCTCATGGGTGAAAACGAGGGTAATCACACTCATCTCACACTGCTGCGGTGGGCAGTTGAAATACTAAATAGGAGAGCACTTGGTATGCTATGAAGTGTGCTATAAATGTGGGTAGTAATAGTAGTCTTGCCTAACTGAAGATAGTTACCTGCTCAACACAAGCCATTTTGCATACAAACTTTTGAACACTGAAGTTAGCACAGGTTCCTGTACTGACGGAGCAGAGAGAGATGAATGAAGCAAGGTAGAGACACTCTCTTTTAGATAGCTCTCTTTAGGTAGCAGGCCATTGTAGGAAGCAGAGGTTTTTCTGATTCAAAAGAGTTGTTTGGTTGTTTGTTTTTAATCAAGAAGGACTTTATTTATAGTGTGTGGTTGAGCATGCCATCCTCACTCAGTATATTAATTGGCAGGCAGGCAGGAAGAATAATAAATATATGAGATAGGAAAGGAGATGGCATTTGATTCTTAGTAACTGTTAATCATTCATATTGTTCATCCTAAATGTGCTCAGTGTTTTGTTTGTTGGTTTTCTGGCAGCCTGCAGTGTGCATGGCACTAACCTGTCTAGCTCTAACCTAGGTGCCCGATGCTCACAAGCTTCTTCTGTCTGTGTGCACAGGGCATCTTGAGCTGGTGCTCGGCTTGCCTTTCCTTTAGGGGACCAGAGAGGTTCTCACAGCGCCTGGCAAGACCTATGCAAGAGTTGTTGTTCCTGTGTGCGTCTTTCAAGTAGAGGGTCGCCCTCGTGGGCTGGGTAGAACTGCCCCGGGGGGCTCCGAAGGCTGTCGTCCTGCCTCACTGTCCTCTGCCCTGTGAGTGCTGAGTGGGGAACTGAGCAGCTGAGCACTTACCTGTTATATATGCCGCCTGGGCTCCTCCTAAGCAAGAATTAAAAGCCCCCTTTTTAGGAAAGCTCTGGAATTTTGAGAGTCCAAAGTGGGACCCTTCTAATGAGCACTGGCTAACACCAAATCGAGGAGTGAGAACCTTTGTTTTTTTGAGGAGTGAGAACTTGTACCTTCATCCCCCCTTAGGCCAACCAATGTATGCGTTCTAGCTGGCACTGTTCGCTGGGCGCAGGAGGCATCTAGCCTTGCTGCTAATAATTCTCCTGTACCGAGCATCTTCAGCCTCAAGATGATGACTCCTCTTGACTTGTTCAGAGACAGACAAGAAGAAGAGTCCCTAGTTTACATTTAGATGTAGAATCACAGCGCACTAGTAGACACAGGGCAGTGGCTTCGTTCTCATCTCCTTCCATCCACGCACCTGCACGGGCCTTGCTCACCTGCACACGCACCACGTCACTCCCTTTGCCCGCCTCCAGCCTCAATCTTTCTCCCGTTTTCCTTGGTGGGCTCTCGCCTCTGTCTGATGAGCTCCTCCACCACCTTAGCTCAGCCTCTGTGCCTTCTTGGCTCCTGCATAGAGAGGCTGGTTTTGACTACCCTTCATTAGTTAATTTTCTTCAGAGATAACTAGCACAGGGTTTGAGAAGTTTAGACCACAGTCACCATATGCATCTTCTGCAACAGTTACCGTGTGCATCAGCAGGTGTCCTGGATGATAGCCCTCGCCTCTGTGCTGTCCGTGTGAGTGGATAAGCCAGCTAGCCCCCGTTCTCCCCCCTAACCGCCCCGCCCCGCCTGCCTGCCTTGTCACTCCAGGAGCACACGGGTCCCCTTGCCTATGTGAAGCCTTTCATCAGGTGAAGTTACGCAAAGAGAAGAAATAATGACCATGAATTGATATGAGGAAATTTTTTATACCAAATAGCACCTACAATAGCTGAACGTCTTGTGCTCACAGCCACAGTCCAAAGCCACCGTGGCTTGATGCTGAGAAGCTGAGTCTGCTTCCCGGAGGAGTCGGCTGTGTCGTGCTCATTGCTGAGTGAGTCGTAGCAGCTCACTGGAAAACAAATGCAGTGCTTGTCTAGCTCGGCCCCTCTTGGTCAAGGCCAGCGTCCTCTAGATTTCTGTCAGTTAATAAGAGCAGGTACTGCTGCAGCGCTTTCTTCAGAGAGACTCGATGTCCCTGGAACTTGCAAAAGGCAGGAGCTACCTGTCCCTCAGTAGTGTCCTATAATTACTGCTAAATAACTTGCTGCAAGCGAATTGTGCTCCCCATCATTTAAAATAAAACAAAACGACATTACGTTTAGAATTTTACCCATTTGTGAAATTTTAAATCTCTGCAACTTTCTGAATGTTGAGTGCATCGTTCGGCCTGTGTCAGAGACAAGGAAAGCCCGTAGAGCAGCTGAGTCTTGTTGGTTTTCTTTGAGATGACTTCGTCAGAATGTACCTTTCCAGAGTCAGCTTACTGAACAAATGGGCGCCAGTAAAACAGTCTTCAGCATCAGACAGTGCGAGATATGACAAAATAATAATTTATAAATTATCAAGGGTTCTTAAGGGAGGGGGAAAAATGAGGAGCGGATGACAGGGTCTTCGGTGGAGAGCAAATGTTTTGAGAATGATGAGGGCAATGAATGTACAAATGTCCTTGGCACAATTCATGTATATATGGATTGTGATAAGAGTTGTACGAGCGCCCAATAAAATGATTTTTTTTTAAAAGATAGAAGAAAAAATAAAAATAAAAAGAAGTAAAAAAAAAAAAAAAAGGAAAACAGTCTTCGATGCCAAGAAAGATCACCTAAAGCAAGACAATGTTCATTTCATGTTGTGCCTGCCTTGGGGAAGGCTCGTGTTATTCTGCCTCCGAACTTTAATGGAGGAACACAAGTACAGAAGAATGAGTGACGTATATTCTAGCCTTTTCTTTGACTTAGGCTACTATGAGTTGTTTGACAGAGCGTTGAGTGTTTGGAAATAATGGCACTTTGTCATTTCCTTTGGGCATAAAGAATGCCCCATGTTATGTCAATACGATGGATCTGCTGTGACTTGAGGCTGCAACCCACATGGCATGTTGTGTTTGTATAGCACATTTACATAGTAACGGTGATCATAAAGTGCGCATTGCCTCCCACGGGCACTCCATTCCTGCAGGCACTGTTCAGGCAGTTGGAGATGTCGTACTTCCCAGAGAGGCCAACACATGTTTGGGGCCATCAAAAGTGGTCTCTGAGTGGTCCCAAGGACAACACAGTAACCAGTGGTTAACTTTTCAGGGTACTTCAGCTTGTTCTGTTGGGGAACTAATCCAGCCGCTGGTTCTTCTTGTCCACCACTGTTCTTCTGAAAGACTTTTAGATGAAAAGTAGTTATGCTTTTTATATGAAAGTCATCTCATAAACAGCAAAGTAGAGCACGTGGTACAATTGACAAGATCTGGAGTCAGATGATGTGGGCTTAACTCCTGGCTTTCCATTTATGACCTAAACAACCTTGGGCCAAGCTACTGGTCATATCGGTGCCTCAATTAAATGGTGAGACTAATAACCATCCCTAGGGCTGCTGTGAGAATTAGAAAGGCGTGTGGTTTTGTTCCTTGCACAAATTACTTGGTTAACGAATCGGTTTTTGCTGTTGGTATTGCTTTGCCCATACATTATACTACTGAATTGTCGAGTTTTCAGTTCCTAAATCTTTGTCCCTTGGGCTTCTAAAAGCTGTCATCTATTCATTTCACTCACACATTTGTTTTGGGTCTCCTTGTTGTTGTTATTTTACCCCACATCTAACCTTCATCCTGGTAAATGTTAGCCCTTCCTGTCAAGATCCTTTGTGCAGCCTGACATAGGCCT